CGCCGTGCTCTGGTCTCCCGGGCGCTCCCGGCCTGCGTCCCTCCCAGCCCGGGCCCGGCCGCCGCCACGTTGCAGACGGACCGAAATTCGCTGGAGCAAGGAAATAGGTTTCCGAGGCGGCTGGGGTGAAGGGGGCGTGCCTTCCACCGCCCCCGACATGAGCCCAACTTTCCCCATTTTTATCAGGTAGGGGAGACCCGAGAAGGTGAAGGCGACTGTGGCTCCTTCTGCTGTCCAGAGACGGGAGAATGTTTCCTTTTACGGTCCAAAGGAGATTGTTACAGGATTTTGACTATAAAAAGAAAGATGCTGGGATGTTTTTCATTTCCACTAAGAGTTCCCAAACTCTTCCACATTTTCTTCCAAAATGGGAACGTGAAGTACGTTCTAAAATCCTGAGCATGGGGTGTTTTGATCGTTTTCTTAGTTACTCCCCCAGGGAACGGGAAAGTCTGATCTGCGTGACTGCCTTTAATTACCCGTGCAGGCAGTTGAATGTGCAATTATATCTCACTTCCATTCCTCGTTTGAAATGGGCAGTCTGGAAGCGCTCACCTCTTCGCACTCAAATAATATATCCCGGGGTTACCCGAGATCGCTTAATGAGTTCTAATAGAAACACAAGCTCTTCCTGTTAAGAAACAATGAATCTTTTACCTAGATGAACATTTCATTGGGTTTTGTTCTTTAAGGGTCTTTGACAGTATCCCACACCTGCCTCTGCACACACAAACACGCAAAATAGTCTCAAATCTAAAAGCGCTGTTTTATTTGTCCTCGATAGTTTTAGCATTTAAATATGTAATTATCTCAAGTGGTTCTTGCTGTCAAGCATGCAACCCAAGAACGAAATTGAAGCTTTAATGGGAACACAAGGGTTAGATTTTTAAGTATATATTTGCTCAGCGAGCTTATAACAGCGTTTTGTGAAATAACAAGTTAGAACAATGTAACCAGAAGTATAAGCTTGAATGCGTTTTATTGACTTTTTCTTTAAACAGGATAGGATATCTGATGATTTTAGTGTTGTTTTTAATATGAGAATGTAGAAAATTAATTGGTGAAGGTGTTTTTGTTTATCATAAGTTTGAAATTGGACTAGAAGAGAATGAAAGGAGGTTTTCAACATTTTTCAAAGAAACAATAAAGGTATTTTTCAAAATTGTAATTTGTTCATTATTGGGTTTGAGTAACTTTAATATATTCACTCCCAGTGTTATTTCTTTATTTTATTTTATTTTTTAATTGACTTGAGAGAGGAAAGGAGAGGGAGAGAGAGAGAAACATCGATTTGAGAGAAAGATCGCTTGCCTCCAGTACACATCCTGCCAGACCAAGACAAACCTGCAACCTGGGTATGTGCCCTGACTGGGAATTGAACCCCAAGACCTTTCAGTGTCTGGGTGGATGTTCCAACCAACTGAGCCACATTGGCCAGGGCTCCCAGTGTTATTTCTGCTGTGGAATTATCTAGCTAAAACAAATTAGAATTAATATACTTTAAAAAAATATATTTCTTAGCTGTATACAGTGTCCACTATGTTTTACCTTTAACTTTTTAATTTAAATTACTTACTGATAAGAGGATGCTACATACTTAAGATACTTTGTCTTATAATTCATTTTCCTTCACTTAAATAGCATTAGAAAATATTAATACATAAGGATAAAAGTAGGTTTATGTTTCTTTATCTTTTTCTACAGCAAGTGAAGACGTTAAAGATATCTTTGCCAGAGCAAGAAATGGAAAATACAGACTTCTGAAAATATCTATTGAAAATGGTTAGTTAAATATCTTTATATATTGCTTGTCCTTGGAATATTGGGTGTTATATTTTTAAACTTCTAAGTTGTCGTCAGTGACTTGAACTATTGATGTGAAGGAAGTTCAAAGCTGCCTTTAGGTAACTTGGATATTGTACATTTTGGGCATGTCCCTTGGGCCTCTGCTTACCTTCTGAATTCTGAACTTGACTATTAGAGAAAGATGTTTTTTGATGTGACATCTTCCTCTTTTACTTTTTGTCTCAGTTTCTGCATGCTAATCCGTTTCTAATCTCTGGAATGGAAGTCAGTAACAGGTGATTATCTGAAAAAAATAGTTATTTGTGAATTGTTTTTCAGTAAAGTTAGTTTTGAAGTAGAGACAAAGGATTTCAGACTCTCCTGTTTTCTCCACTTGATTGCAGTCTGTGCTGCAGAAATGATTCCACTTTATTTTGGGAAAAAGTTCTGAGAATGTAACAAACTTTAAATTGATTCTTTCAAATTTAGCAAGCAGGGAAAATTTGGTTGGGTGGAATAATCTTTTAACAGTTTGAACAATTTATATTATAAGTACTTCATTACAAATGAATATGTTAAAATATTCCATTGGCCTAATTTCTTAAATATCTTGAAATGTTTTGCTTTGGAAAAAGAACTTGTTCTCTCATAAACTGGAAGTAAATATAATTTGCTCTCCATTTTCTACTTATATATTTAAAATACCAGAATAGTTTGAAAATATATGATTGTCCTACATATATTACCATACTGAACAGGAATAAACATATACTGGAAAGCAGCTTATTTTAGAAATACTGAGCTAAAATTTTAAATGCCATTACTTCCTAACTAAGTAAAATGGTAAAGTTTAGTGTCTCTATCGAAGGAAAATGACACAGTTTCCTAAATTTTCCGGTTTTATTTTGTTTTTGTTTTGAGATCATTTTTAAAATAAGGAAATTACAAAGAATAAATAATATAACAAATATTTCCATCTCCTCTTAATAACTGCTACTAATATGAATATAATTTTATCATGTGACTATGCCACATATATATGTCCATTTTCTTATTGATAATATTTAGGCTATTTTCAGTTTCTGCTCTTATATAGTGCTGCAGTAAACACCTTTGTGTATATGTGCAAGAGGTTCTCTATGCAGAGTACATTCATACTTTTATTTGATTCTGCGAAATAGTGCCTTAAAGTGGCTATATCAATTTATGCTTCTGAACAAATTTTAAATTTGTAGCATTATGTGCCAAATAGGAGCTAACCCTGGTTTTATTTAATATTTCTTATTAAATAATTAGTTACTAAATAGTAACTAAAATTCAGTGTTCAGAAATTATCCTTTGAGTTGTAGTATACTTATTTAAATATATTTTGTTGATAAATTATAGCGTAAGCCTTTTGGGAAATAGAATATAATCACCCATTCTCCAACCATCCAGCTCAACTGTTTATGATCATTTTTTATTTGTTCTTTTCCTGTGTTTTTTAATAAGTAACAGTTTAACCATGCTTGTCATAAAATTTTTGATTCTGTTTGTAATGCTACTTTGTACCTTAATTACTTTTTGTGTAGCAACCATTTTCTTTCAACTTTTTTACCTGGATAATAGTAATTAGGAAATAACTAAATTTATTCTTCTATTCTTCGTTACTCTATCATTTGGTATTTCAAACCATTGATGTATCTTTTAAAAATTATTCTTCATAGAGAAACTTGTGATTGGATCATGTAGTCAGCCTTCCGATTCCTGGGATAAGGATTATGATTCCTTTGTTTTACCCCTGTTGGAGGACAAGCAGCCATGCTATATACTGTTCAGGTTAGATTCTCAGAATGCCCAGGGATATGAGTGGATATTCATCGCATGGTCTCCAGATCATTCTCATGTAAGTAACTTTTTTGAATTTGTTTAACATTAAATGCTAGAATTTTTTTTTTCTGAAATATTTCTAGGCTAAGAGAAACTTAAGAAGCAATAGTCATTTCCCATAGAAGAGAATGATCATGGAGAAAATCCTTGGATTGGTAGTGTGGAATTAGGAGTAATGTGCTTAGATTTAGAAGGTTTGCCTTTGAAATCAGTAGAATTATTATTGATTTAAAATTTTAAAATCTGGCAATTATAAATGACTGTGAACCTCTAAAGAATAAGGCTAATTACTTTGGTTTGAGAGTAATAATTCTGAGAACTAAATTGACATTATATTAAATAGTCTTAATACCTGCCATTCAAGTGATACACACAATTTTTGTTTGTTTTTTTTAGTAAAGTTAAAATTGACTAAATAGAACAAAAGACAAAATTAATATATGGATACTGCTAGTATTTTATAGAGTAATTCTCTTGTTTTTTATAGAAAAACGATTAACTTTTGAAGTTATTTAGATATCATTCTCAAAAGTCATCCTCTCTCCTTTAATTCCATATATCCTATCCGAAAGAAATACTGGATTTGACCATATAGGATTATGAAATGATTTTTATTGGTTGACAATTACTTTTGGTAGTTTTCTGTAGGTGCTGTTAGAGTCTTTATAATAGTATATTTTGTAGTTCGTTTCATTTATGTGTCCCTCATATAATGGTATATACCATAGATATGCCATGAATATTTGATTCTTAATTTAAGTAGTAATATCTAATCTAGATTTGCTTTTAGTAAAATGTTACTATCAAGATTACTTCATTTAAGTGTTTTCTTCCTCATATTTTAAAATAGTGTTTTAAATAGGTGTTTTTTTCTTGAACTCATTTTAAACTTTTAAAATTGAGTAATTTTTAAAAATTTAGATTGTTTTCTACTTTTTGAAAAATACAACATATTATAAATTGAAATCTACCTTAATTGCCCTTGATAGTTTAGACGCTGGTGTTAATATGGTGTTTATTTGTAGACAAATACTTTAGCATATTACAGTCAGTAGATTTCAGCTTTCTAACAGTTTATTTTATTTTTAATATGCTTGAAGATTTTAATATATTCAGAAAGTGCTTTATTTTGTAATAATAGTTTTTATCTATAAGCTTCTAAGCAAACTTTCACAACTTAATAGGTTCGTCAAAAAATGTTATATGCAGCAACAAGAGCAACTCTTAAAAAGGAGTTTGGAGGTGGTCACATTAAAGATGAAGTATTTGGAACAGTAAAGGTACAAAACTTATACTTTTATAATAATACGTGATTGAAGAACTCCCAGGTAATGGATAATTGATACGAATTCAGATTGATGAATCTGTAAACATAATAAGAGAGAAAATATTGTTATATTTCATATGATACATAGTTTAACTGAAGCATTATACTTAATCCTTTAAAAAATATGTTGGAATCTCCTTTGTTAGACTTCAAAAACTAAAATATACCTTAGATACTCTAGCTTAGCTCCTCATTTAGTTAAACCATTTATTTTAATGATGGTGAAATAGGCTCATAAAAATGAGAGACTACTTAATAAAGTAATTTTTAGATATTATGGACATTTATACACTCAGGTTGTGAAAGCAGTGACTATTTTATTTTAAATCAGAACATTGAGGCAGGTAAATTGGTTTGATAGTTAATTGGGATAATTAGTTGATTGATTAATTTATTTTAATTAAGTTATAATGAAGCATTTACTTTGTTATAAATATTTGTATGTAAACACACACACACACACAAATTAAGGAAACTGAAATATATTTTTTGAACTGGGTTTTTGTTGTCTAGACCTTTTGTTCTGGTTCCGAAAGTAATATAATCTGTTGTATAGAATACAAGATTAGATGGGAATACTTTGCTTATTCATCGTTAATTGTAAAATGGCCTACTTTTTCAGTTCTGTCTTCAGCCTTCCAAGCCACAAAATTTTGATGAAAAGTAGACCTGTAGAATATGTTTTTCTTTGAAATAAGAACTATTATTATTATTTTCTATGAATAATTATAGAGAAAGTATGTCATTATAATAAGAATTCATAATCTGAATGTGTTGATTATTAAATAATTATAGGGTAGGCTTCCCCAGAAGGTTAATGATAATTATCTTTTAGACTTAAAGCATGACTGGGTTCATCATGTGACTAGCCATCACCACCAGCACACTCATAAAAAGACTTAGTAATTATAAAACTTTAGGAAATGAAGAATAGATTCTCCCCTTAAAGTTGTTTAAAACCTGTAGAATAGAGGATTTAAAAAATAATAATAGTAAAATCCTTGATAGTACTTATTTTCAATGAAAACATTTTATTTTCTGTTATATTAATAATTTTGTCCTAAGTAACCTCACTGATGTTTGACTTCCGGAGAAGACTAATAATAGTGAATTTCTCTGCTTACAGGAAGATGTATCACTACATGGCTATAAAAAATATTTGCTGTCACAGTCTTCTCCTGCCCCGTTGACTGCTGCTGAGGAAGAATTACGACAGATTAAAATTAATGAGGTAAATTACTGTTTTGAAACCATTGCAAGATGGTGTTTGAAAATATATTTTTAATTAATAGATGTAGAGATAGCTAGGTGATAATTAGGTTAGGTAGCTTACATTTATTCTTTTAGTTCAGAGACAAGACTATGTTCAATATGTTTTCAGGAAAAAGTAAAAAGTGAATATTAAACTTCACATTAATTTCATAAATAGCTTTCTTCTGTCTTTATAATGTATGTGACAGAATAGTAAATCTTCCTGTTGGAAGTACAACTGTTTTTAACTTTGTCTTTATATATAATGGAAAAGTGTGTGTTATCCATTCAGTGCAAAGAATATTATATCTACTGAGGTTGCCTCAAGCAGGTTTGTTTTATGTTATTTCAGAGAATAGTGATGACTGAAGAGAATAAAATATGTGGTAAGATGTTGAGGAATTCTAGAAGCTCTATAAATTATATGAACACTGCTTGGATGGTGGTTATATATATATTTGCTTAGCATATCTGAGTTACTAAATTCCATCCATATTACAGTTTATCTTTTTTCAATGTGTTTACTGCATCCATTCTAATTAGAAGTTAGAAAAGCCACTGTATTTCTACTGGAATTTATAGAAAAGAACAAGTAGCAGAAACCACTGCTCGCTAGTCTGAGTAACAGACTAATAGGAATCAGTCTGGAAAGTGATTGAATATTATTTAATAGTAACCTGATAGCAAGGACCTATTTTTATACTATTTTAACTCAAGTAATTTGAGTAGGGATATTTGTGTGTTTTTTTTTTTTTTTTTTACAAGTTTGATAGTTTGTTTTATTCCTTGCAATCAGAACCCAGAGGACCGTATTGGGGTATGCATTTGCATATGTTCTATGATGTTTCCATTATCCAGTATCATTTATGCTGTAGAATCTCCATTCATTTTTTTAAAGTAAAATTTCTATTTGACTTTTTGTTGCAACACTGCAAATGAGACCCTATATAAGCTATCATTTATTGAATATAAAAGTTTTAAACATATGCATTGAAAGCTTTCTTAAAGTACTCTTCTTCTAGTACATGTTCACCCATGTTCTTAGTAATGAAAGCTCTGAGTCTGGAACTTCTGCAGTAATATAGTTTGTTGAGCTGTGTGTGTCTCTGTATACTGTGTGTATTCCTTTCAATTCAGTGCATGGTATTTGTGTTACATTTTATGTCTAGCAGAACAAAGTAAAGTTCTACACATTATATATATATATATTACTGTTCATAAATGTTACTAAGTAAAATTTGATAATCAGAAGACAATTCAGAGAGCTTATGTAGCTCACAGCAATTGTGCCAAACATAAACAAAAAGCCCTAACGCCCTATTAACACTTAGGTTCACTCCCAACATTTTCATAAAGACATGTCATGCACTGTGCATGTTGACAAAGTGCTAGCAGAATATTAACAAATGTGAAAAATTATTTGCTGTTTAAGTTCGTGGTGTTTTAAGTGTTGATTTTAATTATATTGAAATGGGCAAGGGTGGAATGACACTTCATAGAAGTTGGCTTTGTTATCTTTGCCATATGACACTGCTAAGTGCTAAAAATTTATCTCTGCATTAAATTTGTCATACTTAGGTACAAACTGACGTGAGTGTGGACACTAAGCATCAAACACTGCAAGGAGTAGCATTTCCTATTTCCCGAGAAGCTTTTCAGGCTTTGGAAAAATTGAGTAACAGACAACTCAACTATGTGCAATTGGTAAGAGACATATAATGATTACCATGAAATGGCTGCTGTTTTTGGTAGCTTATGGCTTAGAGGTCTATTTTTAATAGATTTTTAAACTTTTCTATTTGCTTTGCTTCCTGGTTGTTCTTACTCATATATTTCAACTACAAAAGCAATATATGATATATTCATATGAAAAAGTCAGACCTGTGTAAGTTTCCCCTTCTCCTAGTATTTTAATTACAAATTTTAAATATCTTTGTATGTGTTTTAATGAGTATACTTTGCTTCTTATTGGCAGGAAATAGATATAAAAAATGAAACTATAATTTTGGCCGACACAACAAATACAGAACTAAAAGATTTGCCAAAGAGGATTCCTAAGGATTCAGCACGTTACCATTTCTTTCTGTATAAGCATTCCCATGAAGGAGACTATTTGGAGTCCATAGGTATGTGACACATTGTTTTTAACATGTTACTTATTTCTTGCCCAGAAGGCTTAGTAATAGTTTTATGAGGTTTAGTATTTGCTTTAATTGATATGCTGCTAATTGTATTTATCGTTATTTTTTAACTTACAGTTTTTATTTATTCAATGCCTGGATACACATGCAGTATAAGAGAAAGGATGCTGTATTCTAGCTGCAAGAGCCCTCTGCTAGAAATTGTAGAAAGACAACTACAAATGGATGTCATTAGAAAGGTAATTACCTACCTATTTATTTATCTAATTTATTTTATCTATTTTATTTTACCAATGTATTTAATGCCTACCTATTTAAAAAATTTTCAGTTTTTGCTAGGTATTTATTGCCTTTCCATGTAGTTCATGCTGTGTTACGATTTTTAAATGAAAGTGGGTTTTTTTCCCTCTTGTTCTAATCATAAGTCCTTAGGATCTCCTCCCTTACTATCATGACTCCAGTCTCCCTATAGATCTGTACTCTCTAATATATAGCCACAAACTACATGTGACTATTTAAATTTAAATATAAATTAAAATTAAGTAAAATTTAAAATTCAGTTTCTTAATGATGCTAGCCACGTGTCAAACGCTCATTAGCCACTTGTGGCTACTATATTGGACAGTACAGACTTTAGAGACCATTTCCATGTTGTAGAAAGTCCTGTTGGGCAGCACTGCTAGAGCTGCATGCTTATAATTGTCTCAAGACTTATTACTAATAAGGAACTACAGTCTCCATTTATAACTGAGTCAAAGGATGGTTGAGAATCTTTCCAGTTAGTGGGAAGGGAGGGAATGGGCATATAAACATTTGAATTTTGGGAGGTAAGCTACCAATTTTCTTAAACTTAGTGTTTTAAGTATAGATGAGGCCTGGATAAAGATATGGTTTATTCTTGACCCTTCAACTCTTAAAACACAGGTCCTTACAAATGACCAGTGTTTTAGGTACTGAACCCTTCATGTTCTTTTTTAAGTTCTTAAGAAGCACCTTCTATAGCAGGGGCTGGCTGACTTTTTCTTCAAGAGAACCAGATAGTAAATATTTTAGGCTTTGCTAGGCCACGTATGGATATTTTTTCTTTTTTATTAAACTTATTGGGGTGTTAATAAAGTGATACGGTTTCAAGTGTACAGTTCTGTGATGCATTATCTGTATATTGAGTTGTGTGTTTACCACCCAAAGTCAAATCTTTTTCTGTCACCATCTATTTGGTCCCTTTATCCTTTACTATTCCCCACACCCCCTTCCCTCTGGTAACTTCCATACTGTTGTCTGTGTCTTGAGTTTTTGTTTGTTTGTTTTTCTTATTTGTTCATTTGTTGCTTTCAGTTTTATATCCCAAATAGGAGTGAAATTATATTGTTCATGACTTTTTCTGTCTGACTTACTTCACTTAGCATGATATTCTCAAGGTCCATTCAAGTTGTTGCAATTGGCAGTATTTCCTCTTTTTTCTGGCTGAGTAGTATTCCATTGTATATATACACCACATCTTCTTTATCCAGTCATCTATTGAGCAATACTTTGGTTGTTTCCATGTCTTGGTCACTGTGAAAAGTGCTGCCGTGAACAAAGGGCTGCATATGTATTTGCAAATGAATGTTTTCAAAGTTTTTGGGTAGAAACCCAGAAGAGGGGTTGCTGGGTCATATGGTAACTCTGTTCTTTTTTTTTTTTTTAATCTTTATTGATTTCAGAAAGAGGAAGGGAGAGAGAGAGAAACATCAATGATGAGAGTCATTGATTGGCTCCCTCCTGCATGCCCAAGACTGGGGATCGAGCCTACAACCTGGGCATGTGCCTTGACTGGGAATCGAACCATGATCTCCTGAATCATTGGTCGATGCTCAACCGCTGAGCTACGGCCTGCCAGGCGGTAACTCTATTAATTTTCTGAGGAACTTTCATATGGTTTTCCATGGTTTTCATATGGTTTTNTCATTGGTCGATGCTCAACCGCTGAGCTACGGCCTGCCAGGCGGTAACTCTATTAATTTTCTGAGGAACTTTCATATGGTTTTCCATGGTGGCACATATGTTTTTTGTCACACATTCTTCTTTGTTTTATTATTTTGTTTTATTTTTACAATGCTTTAAAAATATAAAACACACTCTTAACTTGGGCCAACCCTGTCCTACCTAAAGTGACTTTTAAGTGACCCAGGTGATGAAGGGACCATGAGTAATGTTTCTTGAATATAGTGTATCAAAGCAGAACAAATTGAGAATATAGTGGTGGTGTCTCCTTTTAAATACCAGTTAAATTGGTAAAAAGAGAAATTATTATAGCTGCTTGTATATTCAACCCTGCCCCCCCAAAAAATGAAAGTGAAACTGTTTAGCCCTGGCCAGTGTGGCTCAGTTGGTTGTGTGTTGTCCCATACACCAAAAAGTTGCTGGTTCGATTCCCTGTCAAGGGCACATTCCCAGGTTGCTGGCTTGATCCGTGGTAGGGGGTGTGTAGTAGGCAGCTAATTGATGTTCCACTCTCACATTCATCTTTCTCTTCCTTTCTAAAAAAATCAATAAAAGTTTTGTTTTGTTTTTAAAAAAGGTGAAACTGTTTACATATGGTCTTTGATTCTCTTGCTGGGAGGGCTGTTATGTATTTGTGAACATTCACACTTGAAATCTGGCTGGTAGCTTGTATTAGGTTTTGCATGTCGTACTTTTTTCATTTTGCATTACTCTTTACTGATTTCATCTCTTACAGATTGAGATAGACAATGGGGATGAGCTGACTGCAGACTTCCTTTATGAAGAAGTACACCCCAAGCAGCATGCACATAAGCAAAGTTTTGCAAAACCAAAAGGTCCTGCAGGAAAAAGGGGAATTCGAAGACTGATTAGAGGTCCAGCTGAAACTGAAGCCACTACTGATTAATTAATATCATTATATTAAGTATTACAATACTAGTTTTTTAAAAGTTAAGCTTTTAGTACAGGAGAACTGAAATCATTCCATGTTGATACGTAGTAGGGAAAAAATTGTACTTTTTGAAAAATAGCACTTTTCATTCCTGTGTGTTTTTAAAATTAATGTTATAGAAGTCTCATGATTTCTATTTTTGAGTTAAAGCTAGAAAAGGGTTCAACATAGTGATGTTTAATTTTGTTACACATGGTGTGACAAAAGCGTTCAACATAGTGATGTTTAATTTTGTTTTCATAGAGTGATGATTCCACACTTTCACGTATTCTTAAAGTTTTATACAGTTGGGCCAATTTCAGAAAGTCTAATGTGTGAAAGTAAGATGTACTTCTTATTACTCTTTCGTGAGACATCAAATTTTTTTCTTTAAGGGAGAAAGGCCTTAAAATATTCATACTACTAAAGGAATGTTAAGAACCAGGTTAGATGATTTTCTAAGTTGAAAATTAGTGTGCCTAAGAAGAGGTAGAAAGTTGCTTACTTTGAGGAGCACTACTAAGTGGGATCTTGTCTGTAACTTTTAGAAACAGTGCTTTATTGCAGCAGTCTTCTATTTGACTTTTGGTTTTTTAAATGGCATTAAAATTTCAGAAGATCGGCTCACTCTGAAACCTTAAGGGTTCAAGATATTTTCTGTACTGCGGGATTTCTCATGTCACTGAAAGGCACGTTTATACAGTTTTAGTAAACTCTAGTGCTTTAAAAAATTTCTATTTCAAAAGTAAGTCATTTCATTATAAGTAGTTCAAGGCCAAATATTTATTTTCAGTTGAATATTAAATTAATATAATTACAAAGCAAATAATACTTAAAGTCAGTAATATTGAAAAAGTTTTAAACATCAAGATTGATTTTTCTACAAAACCATATATTTATGGGCAAATTATGTTCTTTATCACTTTTGAGCAAATACTCAGATTTAATCAAATTGTTTTAAAGTCCCAGTACTTAGCTTAACACTGATGAATACTTAGCCTAACACTGATAAACACTTAAGAATCTTGTTTCAATTTAATCTTATTTCAGACCACATTTAACTCTTTCCTAAAGCTTTGCATTTTCAGCTACAACCTACAGAGATTTTGAGCCTCGTTTTTCTCTGATACTTGAAATAGAGGGAGCTAGAACACTTCATTATGTTTAATCTATTAAACCTGCTGTGAGAGCCATAACTTGGAGGTGTTTTCTAAATGAACTGTGGGGAATCCAGGATTTAGAATTTTTTGATCTAAACTTTATGCTGCATAAAACAATATCAGAAATGCACATTTCATACTATAAAGTACGAAACACTCACTTTTACACATTATTACCTAAGGTAATATATGCACCTTTCAGAAATTCGATGTGTTCAAGTAAAGCATATTAGAATAATTATAGGTTGACAGATTTCTTTTCTAGAATTAAGAGTATTTGTGTGGGGTTTTGTTTGTTTACAAATAATCAGACTATGTTTTAACGTGCAAAGTAATCAACAGTAATGTTGCACTTGTTTACTAAAGATATACTTTAAGTTGTTTCGTGGGTGCACACGTAGACACAACATACACACAAATTCCTGCATTGAGAATCCTGAAGCTGTTATTTTTAGTCAGGAGATGGTTAACTTGTCATGAAGGTATAAACTAATTTAGCAGTGAATGTTTTTCTGTACCATCCATGTGCAATTATACTCTTAAATTCCACTACACTACATGAAAGTAAATGGACATTCCAGAATATAGATGTGATTATAGAGTTTTAAGCTAATTATTATTAAACCAATGATTGTTGAAAATCAGTGATGCATTTGTTATAGAGTGTAACTCATCGTTTACAGTATATTTTAGGTGGCATCATCATAACAATAGAAGGTGAATAAAGTATTCCCAATAAATTTATATAGCATTGAGGAATTACGTCTTTTGTGGACATTTTATAAGTGCATTTTATATTGCAATAAAGATTTTTTCTCTTTAAATTGTGTACTAAGTTGGTTTTCTAGTATAACCTTTTTAAAAATATTTGGACAGCTCTACATAATGCAATGCCTGGTGGTAGGTTAAAGATCCCAATCTATTCATTTGTTAATTAACCTGTCTAAACCAAAACGGACTTGAAGTAGTTTGAAACCTAGGCAGGTTGTATCAAGAGTACTTACTTTAGATGAGAACTTTCCCGCTTTGACAGCAATAATGAAAATGCTATGAGTTACACATTTCGTATTATGATAGAAACACCCTGTATAATAGGGTGAGCTACATACTTGACACTAAGCTCTTAAGGAACTAGTTTACTTATTCAACAAATATTGAATGCATTCTGTTTTGTAATTCAGTATCAAATTGATCCTTTTTATTAGGGGTCTTAGAAAAAGAATGGTAGCAGTTTTACAAAAGATGGAGAATTGTCCTTAAAAAAGCCGATATTTAAAAACTTTGTAGAAGTTAAGTTCTCTGAGGCATTTCTACTCAGAACTAAAATAATGTACCTGAGGTGCATATTGTAGTTGGGTGTATCCTTTCTCACATTTTCTTTGCGTATACTGCACAGCCATACATTACAAGAAATGCTGGTTCTGGGGCTTCATATCCAGAGATTTCGATACATTAGGTGGGCCCAGGAATCAGTTCCACAAATAATTCATGTGTAGCCACAACTGGGTACAGTTTGCATTAAATGATGTAAATTGAGTAAAATTTTTTCCTCCCATTCAGTCAGACTTCATGAGTATTACTATGTACTGGTGTATAGTGGTTTTGATTCGTGCTGACATACAGACTAAAATCTGGTCCTGTTGCCCACTAGCTTCTGCATGACAGCCCACTCTCCTCTGTTGGTCTGCTCCACCTCAGCTATTTGCTGTATCTCTAAAGGACCGAACACATTGCTGCCTCAGGAACATTGAGAGTGTTGTTTCCCACACTGGAACAGCACTCTCGATATCAACATGTCTTCCTCACTTAATGAAGCTCTCCGCTCAAGTGTCCTTTTAGGTCTTCCTTTACATATGTATGTATTGTTTGTCCCCTCTAAAACAGACGGTCAATGGGGAAAGGGACTTGGTTTCATTCACTGGTGCATACTCAGCCCTAGGACAGTGTGTAACTGGATATTTTATTTGTTGACTGAATAAAAAAAAGATTTACCGTTTCCTTGAACAGCGGAGAAAGGAGCACTTTTCCAGCAGTGGTAGGTGCAGCGCAGAGGCTCTGGCCTCCATCACTGTTTCTGGCTAGGGCAAATGGCACAAGCATTGACAGAGCCTCTTGCCCTCCGAGAACCATGGTTTCCACCACAGAAGACTCCAGTATTGACTCCTTCCTGATCAAGTGTCCCAATAGAGATCCTCATTCTGGAAAGACCAAGACCAGCCTCTACTCAACTGCCAGTGCTGATCCACCACAATTTGTACTTGCTAGGATTCAGCCAGCCCTAGTTAGTGCCTTATAGAATTCTGCATGCATAAAGTGAAGAGGCAAGCCATTAACAGGTTAAATTTTTTCCTATTACCAAGCTGTATGGATAAGATAACATGGGTCATATCTATATTTGTGCATGTATGGGTGTGACACTGCCACTTTCTGGCTAAATGACTGAATCAGTTATGCGTTGCTAATGTATAACAAAGTACCCCCAGATGTAGTGGTTTAAAACAATAGCAATCATTTTTCACTGTCTACAGTTAGCTGACCAACTCTTCTCTGGCTACTATTTGCATGGTATATCTTTTTCCATCCATTTACTGTCAGTATATTCACATCCTTTAAAGTGTGTCTCTTGCAGACAGAATATAGTTGGATTATGCATTCTTTATCCATTTTCCAACCTGCTGTTTAATTGGAGAGTTTAGTCCATTTACATTTATGTAATTACTGAGAAGGTAGGATTTACATCTGCCATTTTGCTATTTATTTTCTATATGTATTATGTCATTTTTGTTTCTCATTTCCTCCATGACTGCTTTTTTTTGTGTTAAATAGATATATTCTTGTGTGATATTTTAATTTCCTATCATTTCTGTTACCATATTATTTAGGTAATTTTCTTAGTGGTGCCGTGGGAATCACACCTTAATTTGTGCCAACTTAATTTCAGTAGTATACAGAAACTTTGTTTCTATATAGAATGGCTAGTTGACATTCTTTTTCTTTTAGCACTTTGAATATATCATATTATTGCTTCTAGTCTCCATGGCATCTGATGAAAAATCAGCTATTGATGTTATTGAGGATCCCTTATACTTGTTGAGACTCTTCTTTCTTCTGCTTTCAAGATTGTCTTTATGATGTGTCTAGGAGTGGATGTCTTTAAGTTGATCCTACTATCAGTTGTTACTTTCTTAGATGCATAGATTAATGTTTTTCATCATATTTGGGAAGTTTTAGGCCATTCTGTCTTCAAAAACTCTTTCTAGCACTTTCTTGCCTCTCCTTCTGGGACTTCCATTATACGTTGTTGGTAACTTTGAAAGTGTTCCACAGGTCTCAGAGGACCTGCTTATTTTTCTTTATTTTTTCTTTCTATTCCTCGACTGATTTATCTTTAAGCTTGTTGATTCTCTTGGTTGGTTTGTTTGCTCAAATCTGCTGATGAGCTGCTCTTGTGAATTTTTCATTCCTGTTATTGTAATTTTCAACTTCAGGGTTTCTATTTGGTTCCTTTTTATAATTCATCTCTATTCTCTATTTGGTAAGATATTATTCTCATACTTTCCTTTAGTTCTTTAGACATTATTTCCTTTAGCTCCTTGAACATGTTTAAAATAGCTGATTTAAAGTCTTTGTCTAGTAAGTACAACATCTGGGCTTCCTCAGGTAGTTTCTATTGATTTTTTTTCTGGGTATGGGACATACTTTGTCATTTCTTTGCATGTCATTTTTGTTGAAAACAGCATTTAAAAAGTATAATATGGCAATTCTGGAAATCAAACTCTGCTCCCTCTCCAAGGTTTGCTGTGGCTGCTAATTGTTTTAGTTGCTGTTTATTTAGTGACTTAAATAAACAAGAATTAGTAAACTAATTCTGTAAGGTCTGTATTCTTCATGATATGTGGCCACTGAAATCTCTACTCAGGTTAGTCATCACCTAATGAATGGACAGATTTCCTTAAACATCTGTAACCAATAAATCTCCCAGTATTTGCAAGAGGCTCTGTATACATGTTGAGACACCTTCCACAGCACTATAGATTCTGCTTTAGTCTTTACTTCTTGCTTGTACAGAGCCTGAAGGTCAGCCAGAGGGTAAAGCTTAGGACCTTCTCAGGTCTTTTTTATTTTGAGCATGTGCATGGCCTTACACACGTATATGGCTTTCTAGGTTCTCAGGAATCTGTTGGAGATTTTCAAAGCCATAATGGATATCTTGTTCCTCAGCTTTTTCTTTTAAGCTTTTCGGTTAGCTTATTGTTTGTGCCAACTGTTATTTATCACCTCAGGCAGCTGTGATTAAAATATTTGCCAGTAAATGTTTTTGACAAGTGACTCCGCAGAGAGGCTTTTAGCACTAGGTGAGCTTTAGTCAGGTCAAATAAAGATAAGCCTTTGAATGGGGTCTTCCAGGGAACCACCAGAGAGATCAAATAATTACACTTCTTTCAGAATACGGCTTTGAAAAAGTTCCAGCTCTGTTCTGCTTCCTCTGGTACCAAGAATGTGGGCTGTTATTTTTCAAGGCTACCGCTGAGCTAGGGAGCAAGAAGTGAGAGACAAGGGTAAGCTAATACGCCGCAAAGCTTGCTCTTACTGAGATTCAGCTGTTTTTCTTGAATAAATGTTTTCTGGGTTTCTGCAAGCCTTTAGTGAATTTCCAGTTCTGAAAAGTCAATTCTGACCATTTTTGCCAGCCTTTTCATTGTTTTCACGGCGAGGTGAATTTTCAGAGCTCCTTTGCCATTTGCCAGGCCTGAATATTCAAAGGCAGATGTTATTATTGATCTTTCTTGGCCAAAAAAGAATGCTGTATAGCAAAACTTCCTAATATGTTTAACAGTAAGCTATAGCATGTTCCCTCCTCTAACTTATGAATTGATTTAAGAATATTTTACCAAAGAAAGCCACTAATGGCTAAGAGATATTGAAGGCTTTTTTTTGTTTTGTTTTCATTTTGTTTTGTTTTTAAACAGCTACTGGTCAGCTTTTCAAAAATTTTAAGGACACTAACTTATGATAGTCAAATTCTGTTATCATAAAGATGGTTGCTAGTCTTCCTCTAAAATACATGATGGAGATACGCATCTCTTTATAATAAAAGTTGTTTCATTTTTAAAAGACATTTTATAAAGGGGATGAGGAGCTAAGGATGTAGACCGTTTAACTTTTTAATCCCCTCCCCCAGCTTTATTGAGATGTGATTGACATACAACATTGCATAAGTTTAAGGGGTACAACAGTTTAAGGTGTACAATGTGTTGATTTGATACACTTATATATTGTAAAATTATTACCACTGTAGCATTAGGTACTTTTTAATTCTTAAAAGAGGTGAAGTTGCCATCTGGCTATTAGAATGGCTGTAGCAGGAGAAAGGATCACAGACAGTCTAGGGTTTGGATTTCAGTGTTGCAGGACAGCCCGAGATGATCAGTTTCTGAAGATTTAATTTGTGCTAAACTTCCAAAGACTTAGGTATAAACCAGAATGTAATTTTAAATCATATTAATGTAGTTAAATGTAATTTTAATCATAAAAAGACACTCTGCAATAGAAACTGATTTATAGTTGTAATAGTCTTCGTTACTCTGCATTATCTTCTAAAAGGGAAATCCAGGCAAGAAATAATAAATCAAAATAAAAAAGCTGCTAGATAAGCATGGAGTTCAGTGCAAGGAAAACAGATTAGATGACCTTCATCAAAATCTTCATCAGACTACTTGGATGCGTAAATAGCCAGTAGGGGAAAATATCTGACATCATCTGGAACACAATACTCCTTTCCCAGGAGAGTAGTCGAAACATTATGACAAAGTCGTATTCTTGGCTCACTGCTGACCTAAAGGCCTCTGATAATACCAGCAACACACAAATAGAACTTGATTCAGTTTTGTTTCATTTTGCTAAGTTCAAGTATATTCTAGTCATTCCTGAGACTATATACCCGTAGCCTTTTTTTTTTTTTTTTGAGCTTGGGTGTTGTTAAAACTTCTCAGCCAAGGGAATCCCTCTGTCACAACACATAGTTTTAATGTTTCCTAACACTTTTCACCACCTGATATTGTTTTACTTATTTACTTATATAGGTGTCCCCCCAAAATGTATACACACTTTAACAGCTGACAACTCACTTAATTTTCACTCTTTTTCAGGTTTAACTGATTTAAAATAATCGGTGAAGCTAGACTAAACTTCGAACAAAGAAAATTTATCCTAAAGTGCCACTAGACTTTTTTGTATGGGGTTGCATAAAAGATAAAAGTTTATGATACAAAACTGCAACAGTTGATGAATTGAGGGCACACAAATACTGAACGAAATGATTCTTGATGTGGCTTCATGTTATCAGCAGTGCCTTGACAGAAGGGTCATTAGTTTGAAAACAGGCATTGACAAAAAAAACTACTCATTTCTGTAGATTCTTTTAAATTTTGAAAATCAACTGTATGTTAATATACACTTTATAATCATTCAAAGTGTGTATACATTTTTTGGGGACACCCTATATATTATAGCATCTCCCTGTGAACACTTACTTCTGACAAGCTCCTTGAGAACAAGGGTTTTGGATATATCCATTGTTTTTATAACTGCCTGAACCATAGAAAACAACAAAATATTTGTTGAATTTATTAATTATTGTTTTAAGTGAGAGCATTTCATAAGATGATTTTCCCTAATTTCATCAGAGGAACAAAATATTAGCATGTATTTTTGCAATTTACTGCCATTGTCTCCATACTGACTATTTCTGAGACCAGAACTTGAATGATTAAAAAGCTATTCCTATCTTGTAGAGGAATAGTACAAACTTTGAAAGAGTCTGGAGAGAGGTTGGTCAAAGGGTATAAACTTTCTGTTATAAGTTCTTGGGATCAAATGTCCACCATGGTGATTATAATTAATAATACTATTGTATCCTTGAAATTTGCTAAGTGAGTTTTTAAGTGTTCTCACCATACAAAAAAACCTGACAAACCACAAAACGGTAACTACGTAGGGTAGTGGATTTATTTATTACCTTGATTATGGTAATCATTTCATAATTTATACATATATTAAGCCATCATGTTAAATACCTTAAGTATATACAATTTTTATTTGTCAAGTATACTACAATAAAGCTGGAAAAAATAAAATATATGCTTATTTTTTAAAATATGTTTTTATTGATTTCAGAGAGAGGAAGGGAGAGGGAGAGATAGAAACATCAATGATGAGAGTCATTGATTGGCTGCCTCCTGCACGCCCCCTGGCTGGGGATGGAGGCTGCACAGTGACCTCCTGGTTCATAGGTTGACGCTCAACCACTGAGCAATGCCAGCTGGGCTATATGCTTATTTTGAAAGAATAAGACGACTATGTATGAATGGCTGAGACCTATGGCCATTTTATATCGCTGCATAATAACTTACCACAAACTTAGTGGCTTATAGCAACTCATTTATTACGTCACAGTTCTTTATGTCGGAAATACAGGCACAGCTCAGCTAGATTCACTACTAAGAGTCTCACAAAGCTGAAATTTAGGTGTCATCTGGGGCTATGGTATCATCTGAAGTCTGCAGTACTCTTCTAAGCTAATTGAGGCTGTTAGAAGAATTCAGATGCTTGTGGTTATGCATCCGAGGTCCCAGTTTTTCTTGCTGGCTGACAGCCAGAAAGTAGCTAAAACCTAAGAGGCCAGCCTTAGGTCTTAGCCAATGTGACCTTTTTACAAGATGGTAGCTTCCTTCTTCAAGGCCCACAGGAGAAGCTCAGACTTCTTGCAGGAGCTCACCTTATTAGGTCAGGCCCACCCAGCCCAGTCTCTGTGTTGATACTCAAAGTCAGCTAATTAGGAACCTTAACTGCATCTGCAAAATTACATCAACTTTGCTGCATAACATAATCTAATTATGTTCATATCATTAGAGTATCATCTGGGAATGTTTGGCTTGTAGTGAGTAATTGCTTAAAACAGCACACTGTGAACATGACCCTATAAACAAATGACTGTAAAAAAATTTATAATCATCTATATAAACTTTAAATTTTATATCACTTTATAAGTTACAAAGTATACTTGTAAACATTCCGCATCCTTTGATTTTCATGACTACCAGTCAGAGAGGCACAGTAGGTATTAGTCCAATGTTACAGGTGAAAAAAACCAAGGTTCAAAGCAGCTAAGAGATTGCCATAGCTTTACAGAAAATTAGCAGTGGAGTTGGGCCTTAGCCCAGGGTCTTTTGATTCTATAGTTGTCCTCTTTTTTGCTAATCCTGTCGTTTTCAAATTGTGTTTGCTGAGGTTCCAAGATGTCTTCTCAGGGATTACTGCAAGAACTAAGAAGGTAGGGCTAAGTGTTGATATGGCAGCTCTCCTTCTGTTCTATATGTTGAGATTTCTACATACACATTAGTAACCACCGCACCACACCATGCTTCCTTGTTAAAGGTAAAAAAGAATGTTTATCCAAAACATTTAGTTTAAAAAATGGTTTTGATAGCTGTATATAAAAAAGCCAAGAGTCTGTTCTACTGAAGTTTTAAGAAGCTGTCATTTCTTGCAGCAGCTGTTGGACCTTTTATAAAGAAAGACAGAAAAAACAGAAAGAACCGCATTAAACAGTTGGTTTGAAGTGTACACTTAGGGAAAAAATGACAAACCCCACCTCCTTCACTTTATAAATAAGTGTAAAAAATTAGTACCTTCTTAATGTCTGGTCTCTTATTTTTCTTTTCATTCAGACACTGACTGGCAACAGAGTACATAGTTTCAATGGAAGTTAAGTCAATGTCGCTCATCTTCTTATCAATATAATCTTCAATTGTCTTTTCTTCATCTTCAATTTCTTCTTTAATATCTAGCTTTAAAACAAGTGTTAAAACTTTAAGAGTTTCAAATGAAAGTGAAAAAAATCAGACCATAAATGTTAATTATTTAATCTACTTCTTAATAACATGTACTCTTATTTTACTGTGTACTTTTATAACCTTATTAACAATTGAAGACATACAGAAGAAACCTAATTTATTTATTTATACATACACACATATATACATACATACACACACACCTCCCAGGTACTTTTCATTTGCCGTCTAATTTTTGTATTTATGTTACTGAGTTAATTGCTGTCGTGCTCCCATTAGCAGCATTTACTGGGCTGCCAGCACAGGGTGGTCTGCTTCTCGATCTGCTCCTGGCAACACAGTTCCAACTTCTGAAAACAGACTCCTGTCCCTGTACACTCAAACTTCTCTGAGGGTACGCAAACTGTTGAATCAAAGGCCAGAGGAAGGAGGAAAAGGGGGGCAGGGCCGGGAGGAAAACATAATGAATGAGGAGAGAGGCACAGGACTAGGATGATATATTGGGTTGAGTGGTGGCCCCAAAAAGATATGTCCACGTCCTAATCCCCAGAACCTGTGAGTGTGGCTTTATTTGGAGGAAAAAGTCTTTGTAGATGTAATTCAGTTACCCAGGTGGGCCCCAAATCCAATGACAAGCATCTGTATAAGAGAAATGAAGATTGGAAAACAGACACAGGGGAAAAGACAGTGTGATCGCAGAGGCAGAAACTGGAGTGATGTGGCTATAAGCCAAGGATGCCAACAGGCACCAGGGACTGGAAGAGGGGAGATTCTCCCCTAGAGCCTGCAGATGTCCTGGAGCCCTGACAAAACCTTGATTTCAGACTCTGGCTTCTGGAACTGTGAGAATACATTTTTGTGATTTAAAGCTTCAGTTTGTGGTAACTGTTTTTAAGGAAACTAATACAGATGGCAAAGGCTACTTATGTGAGGTTGACTGTAAACTCTCCAGGAACTCTTCCCAAAGATACATTTTGAAAGTATTTGAGTAATGGCAGAATATAGTGATATATGGGTTCTTTAACAGGCCGTTCTCTTTTAGATACACTTGTATTAAAATCTTATTACTTTATAGTCATACTGCATTCAAACTTGAAGAATAAGTCAGAGTTTAATCTTCCTTGAAGTATTATGATTTTCACTGTTATATGAGGATGCACAAAACTTGCGACTGAGATGGATTCCATGTGTTTTTGTATTTCATCTTTATCCAAAACAAGATCTTGAGGCTTTTATAACATTATGGAGGAAAAAGTCTCAGGTGAATGGGTAGAAAATATTAGGCCTTAGACAGGTGTGCCTTGCTTTAAAAATATAATATGTAAGGTAGTAAAACACTGTTTTTCACTGTCTTCCTATATTATTAATCTATACATTTTCTCTGTATAATTCAATCCATACCCAAATACTGGAGATGACCTCAGAAATCATATAGCTCTATTATGATTTACCCAAAAAGAAACCAGAATACGAAATACATAAGTGACTTTTCCAAGCTTCACAAATATTTCACGGCAGAGCTGAGATTAGAAATATTTGATGCCCTTTCCATATGCCACTATGTAATTGCCAAGAGAAAATGACATTTCTAGATGCCAAATTTACCCATATAAATTTGGATTATAAATACAAAGAGAAAAGGACTGGAAAAAATTACCAATAACTGAGGTTCCCGGTGTTCATCCACTGCTGGAAGTCCAGTTATTATTTCTAGTAAAACCTAGGAGGAAAAAAATAGCAACTCCATTAATGTAACACTTAATGTAACATAGAAATGAGAAGGAATAGGAATCTTGATTATGAAATCTGATTAATCATTTCCATGAACTGCACTATGTCTTTTAGGCATGAAAGCAGAAAGAACATGAGCTGTGGTCATTTCTCACCACCCTTCCTTCACTGTGACTCCACCCACCCCCACAAGCAGTTCTTTCTACTGGTAATTTACTAAGCAATCAGCCCACTCAGCATGTATCCTGGACACTCCTTTTCCTGTTTTACAGGGAATTCTTCACAAGAATAATTTCTTCTGGCTCTTAGGAGAATATTATTTTCTAAACTTTAGGCATATCCTACAACCCTCTGCCTTATGTTCGCAGTGCTATGAACTTAGCTTTCCATATATAAAATACACATGAAAAAATAAGATGAAGCAGCACCCAATTTGTCCAACCAACCCCACTCACTCCTTAATCCATCATGAAAGTTATCAGAAACAGTCTGGTAGATCAGAGGATGCCAAAGGGCATTTTCTTTAAAACATATTTTCATTTCTAAAATATGATACTAATGCCCAGCTGGCGTGGCTCAGTGGTTGAGCATCGACCTAGGATCCAGGAGATCAAGGTTCGATTCCTGGTCAGGGCACATGCCCGGGTTGTGGGCTCGATCCCCAGTCGGGGGCGTGCAGGAAGCAGCTGATCAATGACTCTCTCATCATTTATGTTTCTATCTCTCTCTCCCTCTCCCTTCCTCTCTCTGAAATAAAGACATATTTTTTTTTAAAAAAAGGTTAAAAAAAATGACACTAAAGTGTATATACTGTATGATATTATTTATTTTATGCACTGATTTAAGTTTCATACTAATTCATAAGGACAGTGTGGCCCAAAAAATCATTTCTTGCAGTAATTTCAGAAATTAATATCAAACTTTACAAAGTTGGAGAAATTTTTATAACTTTCTCATTTAACTAGAGGTTAAAGTGAACAAGTTAGAGAGCTAAACAAGATAGGTGTATTCAAAATATTCTACTTCAATTTCATAACTATTACCAGCATGATTATTGTTACCAATTATATATGCATGAAACTTACCACACCAAAGCTGTAGATATCAGATTTGGGTGTTATTTCTCCTCGCAGAGCTTCAGGTGCCATATAAGCTGTTGTTCCCATTATTCTGCTGGTCATGACTGTCTGGGAAAACTTCTCAGAAGCTCGTGCAAGCCCAAAGTCAGATATTTTGGCTGTAAAGTCTTCATCTAGTAAGATATTTGCGCTGAAAAAATGTAAAGTTTAGAGAGAAAAATTTTTTTATTAAACATTTTTAATGCTGACACTATTGCAGATGTCCCCCATTTTCCCCGCCTTTGCCTACCTCCATCCTCACCTCCACCTCCCTTGGCCTTCACCACACTACCGCATTGTGCGTGTCCATGGCGCATGCATATATGTTCTTTAGCTAATCCCTTCGCCTTCTTTATCCAGTCACCTCCACCCACTTGCCTCTGGCACCCATGAGTCTGTTCCCTGTATCCATGCCTCTGGTTCTATTTTGTCTGTCAGCTTATTTTGTTCATTAGATTCCACATATTAGTGAGATCATATGGTATTTGTCTTTCTCTGACTGGCTTACTTCGCTTAGTGTAATACTCTCCAGGTCCTTTTCAGGCAAGTCAAATGGTTCCTTAAATAGGTGTAAGAATGTATGTATGTATTTACAGAGTATACCATGTTATAAATATACATAATAAATGCCTGAAATTTGAGTAAACAAATCTAGATTTTCAGATAAAAGAAATGACTGTGTTCTTTTTGTTTCTGGAGGAAAAATTTTAGGAGAATAAAAATGAAATAATGCTGTTCACATGAGTAAGAGATATTTTCATTATTTCACAAATAATTAATTACAGAGTCATTCCCCTTAAAGTCTCCTAAAGCACCATTCTTAATTCCTTTCCTAACATTTCTAACTTCATTTAAAATCAAATTTCCAACCCAAATATCTCAATTATTCATTTCTTGATTCTTTTTTTTTGTACTATCTGAAATCTTTCGAAGAAGGACTATAGCTAAAAGATCTTCATTCATTATAAGCATTCACTCATACACTCATACTTTCATTCCACAAAACTTACTGACGACTCCCTATGTATTAGTTTTAAGCTCAGTGCTGGGCACGGAGAAATCTGTAAATCTTGTCCATGACAAAGATACATGCATAACTTTTTTTTTAAATCCTTACCCAAGGATATGTTTTTATTGACTTTTAGAGGAAGAGAGAGACGAGAAGAGAGAGGGAGTGAGAGCAAGAGAGAGAAGCATCAATGTGAGAGAGAAACATCAATCTGTTGCCTCCCCTACAAGGCCCAACTGGGGATTGAACCCGAAACCTAGGTATGTGCCCTGACTGAGAAAGGAATCGAACCTGCAATATTTTGGTGTATGGGAGGATGCTGCAACAAGTGAGTCACCTGGCTAGGGCCATGTGTAATTTTAAAAAATCCAGTAAGGCCTGGCCGGGCGTGGCTCAGTGGTTGAGCGTCGACCTAGAATCCAGGCGATCGGGGTTCGATTCCCGGTCAGGGCACATGCCCCGGTTGCGGGCTGCAGGCGATCAATGACTCTCTCATCATCGATGTTTCTGTCTCTCTCTCTCCCTCTCCTTTCCTCTCTCTGAAATCAATAAAGATATATTAAAAAAAAAAAAAAAAAATCCAGTAAGTGCTCCAAAATGGTGATATTAGGTACAAAACGCAGAGAAAACAACGACACGAATGAAAAAATGAGAAAATTCCAAGGAAAAGCGTGCTTAGTCTTGAGTGATTATTAAAAGTTGATGGTTAAATGAGAGAAAGAAAGGCATTTCAGGCAAATGGAGCAACATGTAATAGTGATTAAAACATAAAAGCATATGACCCATTTCAAGAGACTGGTGTCTGAGCTTGATTTTTAGGGCCAGAACCTGGCAATGTAGTAGTGAAGGGGGAAAAACTGGTACAAACAGGTTAAAGGCTGACCAGAAGGGTTTGTAATCAGGTCAAGGACAGATAGCGAGGGTCTAAATAAGGCAGAGTGCTGGGGATAAAAAGGACACCTATAATCTGGAAGTGTTCTAGATTAAGACATGCATGTGAATCCTGAATAGAAAGAGAACAAGATATTCTTTAAAGATAGTTTTCCAAAGTAGCATTTACCTTTTAATATCTCTATGAATTTGATGGTTTTCATGTAAAAAACTGATGCCATTAGCTGCACCCTGAGCAATCCTGCATCTCATGTGCCAAGAAAGTGGTGGAGTGTCATCCTTATGAAGTAAGAAACAAATTTAAAAATACGATAAAAATACCTACAGAAAATATATAACAGAAATTTTTTCTAAGCAACTTTTAAATGAGGATTAGCATTTCTCATTTGACAATAAAAACATATAAGAGCATCTTCAAAGTCTAGTCTTGACTAATATTTTACATTTTAGATTATCACCTAACAGAATGGCACTCCAGCTTTTTACATATCAACTACATAATTTTCATAGAGCAGGAAAAATATTAAGATTAATGCAGTTTAAATGATCCTGTCACAAGGTGAATATTAGTATCCAACAAAGAAATAGAAAGCCAAAAATCTAATAAACACCTTACCAAGCAAGACAGTCTGTCTAGCAGTGAACCGTTAGGCATGTAAATACATACTAAGCAGAGGTCATCTCCATCACATGAGAAGCCAAGTAGCTCTACTAAATTTTCATGTTGGCACCTATGACAAATAATTTCTCACTCAAAATTATTATGATACACACATGTATTCAGCTGTAGGTTGGAAGTTATTCAATATAGAGCTTTAACAGAAAAAAGAACAAGAAAATAATATGCTTTATATCATAATATATGTTTATATGTTTATTATAACTGTTTATAATTTTCTGCAAGCAATTCCCCTTTTAGTCAATACTGACCAACTAAGAAGTAAAACCTTTCTATTTTACAGTAAAAGCTCCATAATTCAGACCACTGGAACTTATGACAGTTCGGTTAAGGACTAGGCTGATGTTTACCTTTGTTTAGCACACTTTTCACTTGTAGCACAAACAAAATTTCAAGAAGCTTGTTGAAACCTGAATGACAATCCTTTCAGAATGCTCTAACACATCCAAAGCACTGATTTACAAAGATCTGCCCTTTAATCACATCTAATTTACACATTTGATATTTAACCATATGTGATTACTTATAACCTAACTTGGGTTTCTTTATATGACTTGAGCTTAAAAAAACTAAAGAGAGCTGAAGTGTAACAAAACTGCAGACATCTGTGATATAGCAAAAGAAAACTGGGTTCAGTGTTCAGTGCTAAGTTTAAAGCCCAGCTCTGCCACCTCCTGGATATGTGAACTATAGCAAATTAACAACTTACTGAGCCTCAGCAAATTTATATGCTCAATGCGGATAATAATACCTCTTATGTAACATGGATGCTGTGAGGATTAAATGAGCAAATATATGAGAGCCTAGAAAAGTACCTAGAACATGATAAGTATTCCATCCAAGTGTTTACTCATTTGTTTATTCAAAATGATCTATAGTTCTGGCATTTCATTATTTCAAATCAGATTTTTCTTTGAAATCAGTCTAACCTCAAAAATATTTTATAAAGTGCAAATTAAACTGACAAGTGCTCCATGTTCCAACAAATTGGCACATTTTAGAAATGAGTAGATGACATTTGCTGAGTTTATACTATATGTAAGGCACTATCATAAATAATTTACCTACTTTATTCCTCACAATAACATAATGAAGTAAGAACTATTATTATCTCATTTTATAGATGAGAAAATGAATGGATAGAGAGTTAAGAAATGTGGTTATTATTTCATTCTGCTAGTAAGGTCCAGAGATTGGTACTTAATTGTAATACATTGCTGGTAGGAGTATCAATTATCATAACTTATAAGGTCATTTGTATCTCTACAACTTTTTATATCTTTACAATTTATCTCTCATAAATTCTGGGAGCAGAAAACATGATAATGGAAGAATGTTGAAATTCCATGTAATTTTGCTATGATTTAAAGTAATGACTGCTGTTTAACTTACAGGCATATAAGTATGTTTAGTCATAGAACTGTAGTCAAAGTTCTTTCAATTCCTCTAATCTAAACTCTTTATTTCATTTGTATGTATTTGAAACTACCACTAGTTCATGGCACACTCTGGGTAAGAAACCAGATCCCTCACTCCTTGCCATGCTCTTTCCCACTACACCACACTGCCAAACAAACTTACTTTGCCATTACTTTTATTTCTTGATCAAACTGTTGTTTCAGTTCTTCAGTACTAATGTCAACCACCTGACAAAAATAAAATAATATGCAATATAACACAATACAATAACACTAAGGCTCCTAACGATACAACATGGCTCAAGAGATCAATTGGCCAACACCTCTTTCCTTAAAATAGTAAGGCATTATTGTCCCCATTTTATAGAACTACTACTAAGAACCAGATACATTAGTGATCTGCTTCAGGTCTGATGGCTGGTTAGGGAAGGAAAAAAATCTTATAAACCATATAAACCTCATTGAGTTATTGTGGGAGCAAAAAAATAATATGAGACTTCACTGCATAAAAATTTTGAAAAAAATTCCATGGAGCAGAAAACATATGATAATTTCAAGGAAAAAGGGAAAAATAAAACCTTCAAAAGTATTTTTAGCATATATAAGAGGATGACTATCTTTACCATATAAATATGTACTATATTGATATTTTTAGAATATAACAACAAACTTAGAATATAACAATCAGTAAGTAAAAGGTGAATACCCTAATAGGAATGGGAACAAAGGATACAGATATGAAATTTTTCAATTTTTTTCTTAATGTACATTTTATTTTTAAATGAGAAAATACAAGAAAGTTATTTTTATAAAATTTTCTTAGTATCTTATTTTAATCTTGATTATGCATGAAGCACTGTGTAAAGCAGGGCTTCTCAACTTTATTCTGTGTTTCCCATAATTGTATGTATAATTGTACGTATGTATGCATAACTACATTTTTGTAGGGATAGGGCCCACAGCTTTCAACAGATTTTTAAGTGTTAAGAACTACCATCTTAAAATGATGTTTATTTAAAGAAAATATGCACTGAAATAATATATTTCCTAAAGATTAATTTAAAACTTATATAGCACACTAGGAAGTTACTCTTCCTTAAATCATTTTATTACTGAAAATGCAACTTACTGCCGCAAGCCTCTTCACAGCCACAGTTCTGTTGTTCACATAGCCTTTATAAACAACTCCAAATCCGCCCTCTCCCACTTTGTTGCCACCGACAGAAATGGGTCGTTCATCAAAGTTATTTGTGACATCCTTTAATTCATAAAATGAAAAACTGTGAAAACCTACAATGTCAATAAAGGAAAAAAGTGATTCAATAAAAAAGAAATTAGTTTTAACAGTCTGAGCATTTTCTTATTAAATATTTTATATTTAAATACTTATTACTTGTATTAGGCACACTGGGAGAGAGCAAAACCATTTTTGAATAAAAATTTCAATCACTTACTTTCTTTACAAAATAAATATTTACTTATTGCCTCTACTCACTGATAACACACTGACTTACACAATGAAGATGGTGCTTAATAAATCAGGAGGGGAAAAACCTATGAAAGAGCTATTGCCAGTGTGCAAAAAAGGAGAAATTTATTTTTAGCAGTAATGGTCTTAATGACACACTACTAGTGCAGTGATTTTCAACCTTGTTCATCTCGTGGCACACATAAACTAATCACTAAAATTCTGCAGCACACCAAAAAATATATTTTTTGCTGATCTGACCAAAAAAATAGGTATAGTTTTGACTCATTCACACTGGCCGGCTATTGCTGTGTTGGCTGTTGCCATTTTTTTATTTGACAACCTAAGGGAAAAGAGGTCAGTGCCCCTGACTAAACAGTCAGGTATTGCATGTTTTAAAAATTCTTGCGGCACACTGGTTGAAAATCGCTGCACTAGTGGAATGCACTATGTGCCAGTGATACTTACGTGTATCGCTAACTTCTAAGCTTTCTGGACTTGAGGAGTCAGGTGGCATATAATTTTGTTCAGGATTCAGCACAGGTATCACAAATGCCCTGTCTTTGTCACAGAGAGGCATCTGATTCTGCTCAACTGTTACAGCTTCTTTACAAGGCAGTGTTTTAACAGTTTTGGGAACAGCATCTGTCAAATGAAGTAAGATACAGGTTGCCCTTCCATAGAAATAGTGTTTGTGAAAAAGTTAATCTAGGAACTTGGTTTATTTAACATCATTCCACTTTCCACATCAGCCCCATATTCTTGCAGCACACATAAGAAGCTACCTATTAAGAATTTTGTTTTGTTAAAAACAGGCAAGGTAGAGTTTTCTAAATGTGGTCTATGAGCCACCTGCATCAGAAGCACTGAAGTACTTGTTTAAAAACAAAGACCTTGAACCCAATTCCAAAATTCTGATAATGATATTGGTAATAGAGCCCAGGAAACTGTTTACAAAATCCCAGATGATTTTATTTTTTTAAAATATATCTTTATTGATTTCAGAGAGAGGAAGGGAGAAGGAGAGAGATAGAAACATCAATGATGAGAGAGTCGTCATTCATCAGCTGCCTCCTCCACGCCCCCAACTGGGGATCGAGCCCGCAACCTGGGCATGTGCCCTGACTGGGAATTGAACCTCGATCTCCTGGATCCTAGGTTGATGCTCAACTGCTGAGCCACGCCCAGCCAAGCCCAGATGATTCTTATGCACACTGAAGGGTGAGAACCACTGGTGTAAATGACATCAAAGGGGAAAAGTAAGGTTATAAAGAAGGCAACACGAACCTACCAAAATACAGTGTAGGGAAATCATGACCACAGAGTCCCATTAGGGTGGAAGTGGAGGGTGGAAAAAAAGCAAGAGCTAAAAATACCCAAATCCCCCAAATAAAAACAAATTCCCATCCTTCTAAACTTCTTATTGGCACCAAACTACCTTACTTCAATGATGGGATCAGACTCAATCACGAAGCCTCCATCTCCTTAGCAGCAAGCAAGTCTGCAGTGCCCTATGTCTGGGGTGCTTGTTAAGAGTTGGGGAGAGTTGAAAGAATGAAAAGGAGTCTCAAATATCAGGTTCATCTGCTATGAGAAAAAAGTAAGAGTAAGAAGAAATGGTCCTATTTCTGCCACTGCCTTTCCACCCTCACTGCTGATGCACTAGTCACACTCAGTTTACCTGGTAGCAAAAGACTCGCAGGGGCATAAAACTCATTTTGGATCAAAAGATCCACGAGATCACCAACTGTGCAATTTGTGGTGCCCCAGTCAAACAGTAATTCACCAGTGGGACTTTTTCCAGCTTGAAGTAATGCTTCAAATCTCCTTAAAAGCAACAAAGAAACAAAATTAGTATGTAAATAGAGTTAACATGAAAATAGGAATTATTCCCCCTGTCCCTTTCTCCAACAGCAGCTCCTATAATCTTAAAGGGACAATAAGAAAACCAACAAGAATTACAGAAAATAGGAAAGATAGGCAGAAGGAAAAAAGATGCTGAAGGTGATGATAATATAAATTAACACTTACTATTTGCTCAGTAGGCTACAGGACATACACATATGAACCATTTACTTCAGAACGATGCTATAAATATCATACTAATTTACTAATGAGAAAGCGAGGCATGGAGAAGTAAAGTAACCAGCTCACAACCACACAGCCAATAAGCTGTATCTACATTGAGATTCCGAATTCAGATTTCACTTGACATAAGAGCGTGCTCTCAACCTAAGCTATATTACTTCCCTACATGACGTATTAACTTTGCTAGTCATATGATTTTTAACAAAGCAGCCTGCTTAAATAGAATATACGTAAACTTGGAGAAGTATTCCTTTGATCATAACTATATTTCTTTCCTGTCTGTTAATCCTCACCTGAGGATATTTTTTTCCATTAACTTTTTAGAGAGAGTGGAAGGGAGGGGTGGGGAGAGAGAGAGAGAAACATTGATGTGAGAGACACACATTGATTGGTTGCCTCTTGGGCCAGGGATCGAGTTTGCAGCTGAGGTACGTGTCCTTGACCGGAACTGAACCCACGACCCTGCAGTCCGAGGGCTGATGCTCTAACCACTGACTAAACTGCAGATCAGTTTTTCATTCCCACTTCTTTAAAAATTAGCTTTGAAAAGTAACATTTCTCTTTTTCTTCCAAATTTTTTATTTTGAAAAATTTCAAACCTACAGAAAAGTTGAAAAAGTAATACCACAAACAACCATTTACCCTTCATGTAGATTCACCAACTGACCAATTGATAACATTTTGCCATGACTGTGCTCTCTCCCTCTCCATCTCCATCTCTATGTGTGTGTGTGCGTGTATGTATCATATGGAGGCACATAATGGCAGTTTGTACTATTACTGGTGACAAAGTTTGATTACTTGGTTAAGAAGGTGTGCTTTAGATTTTTTCTCTTTTTACAGAGAAATTTCTCTGTTTCCCTTTTATGCTTCATAAGTACCCTGTGGATAATACTTTCAAATCTTGTGTAGTCTTGTTCATCAATAACCTTTTACTTTGTGGTTTTTAAGCACTCTGTGATGAGCCCTGCATGAATTAACTACTCACTGGTGATTGTAAATTGGAAACTTTCTAATTCTATCCTTCTTTCAATAATTATTTGTAATTATTCTGCAAAAAAGGGCTTTTTCTCCTCACCACCACTGCCTCAGCTATCCTCCAAAGCTTTTTCATAGTAATATCAATAAACTATCTTTAAAAATAGACGGTCAAACTTTAAACTGAAGCTTCTTCTAAGTAATTTAAGATGTTCATCCTCCATATGAGGAAACATTTCCTGGAGTAAGCTATGGTTTTAGGTTCTTTATCAGGTTAATGCTGAAAATCACAAATACATTTCTTTTCCTCTTGCTTCTAAAGACAGATTTTTGGGACAGGTTTGAGCTGAAATAACTGACTAAAATAAAATCTGTACTTATAGTCTACACTACATCAAGCAGAGTTGAAGACAGAAAAAATAGAAATTATCTGAAAATAGTGTTGAGAAATCCTGGCTAAGACCTAAAAATTCCGTTCATCAATGTATATACATTTACAAGCTACTAGGAAATGTCACTTTGAATTCCCAAAATACACCGTTAAAGTAAATTAGAGATTCACACACACAGAAGTTTAGGCTCCAGGATTTTGCCAGCAATTCTTATAATATTCTTATGTTACTTCAAACTGGGAATGACAGTATGAAGCAGCTGTTAACTCTACTCCTCAGCTTGCCAAAGAGAGAAACAGAATAAAAGCAGGAATCTTGATTACAACCCAAACACTTATTTGCCAGATCACAATATTAGCATAGCTGAATGAAACAAACATTGCAAAAAAGAAGGGGTTACTTATTACCATGATCTCCACTGGAGGGAGGTTTATTTTCTGAACTGCAATATGAAACAGCATTTATACCTATTAATCATTCTAGATTGTGAAGACTTTAAAAAGAAAAAGAATTTCATATGTTACCTTATGTGAAACTGATTGTATCTATCATCACCAGATGGTTTTTTAATAGCTACCGCTAGCTTCTTCCATCCTTCTTGAGGATCAATATAATCTGACAGCTTTCTAATTAGTCCAACATTGAGGCAACGCACATATGTTGATGGTGTTATGGGTTTGTTCATCTTCTATTCCTATAATATAAAACATTCTCATTAAAATTTTACAGTAGTTTTAGGGATGACATCTGTAAGCTTATATATCACTCTTTGCTATAACATATGAATTGTTGGCAACTCATTACACCATAACAAAGGAACAGTCTGAAGTCAACTATAGTCGACCCTTGAACAACACGGGTTTGAACTGTGCAGGTCCACTTATATGCAGATTTTTTCAATAAACACTATAAATGTATTTTCTCTTCCTTATGATTGTCTTAATAACATTTTATTTTCAGCTTACTTTGTTGTAAGAACACAGTATATAATAGAAAAATGTAACATGTGTTAATTGACTGTTTATACTATCAGTAAGGCTTCCTGTCAATAGCAGGTTATTAGTAGTTAAATTTGGGGGCAGACAAAAATTACACATGGTTTTTCAACTGCAAAGGGGTCAGCGGCCCCTAACCCCTGCATTGTTCAAGAGTCGTCTGTAGTTGATATCCTAAGAAATTAAAATTGTGGTTTATTTATTTATCTATCCTCTGAGCTTGTTTTTTTACTCCACCTATAATATCAATTAAAAAATGAAAGGATTTTTTTTTTTTCCTGACACTGACATTTTCTGAGTGAAATTTACACAAAGGAGCAAAAAGTTTACTTTTTCAGAAAAATTCCTATGAACATGTTCAGGAATAAAATGCATTAATTTTATTTTACATAAAATAAATGTAAGATTTATTTTTCAAGTTAAAATAGTTTTATCAGTCAGTATTTATTTCTATTAAATATTTATGCAACACTCTTTGGTAGAAGTAAAAAAACTAGATAACAATTGAGCAGATTGGTGTGAATACAAATTTATGGGGACTCCTTTTCCATAGGGCTTTCAACAGTTCCATTAATCCTTTTACTTGTCTTCACTCATTGTCCTTTGAGGTTGTTTCACACCTTTACATCTCTATATGTGGTTTTATTTGATCTCCAGGTCCCTCATTCTCAGCAGGTGGTTACCCTTCTTTCTAATTAATCAAGACAAATAAGTTCAGCCCAGCCCGGCATGGCTCAGCGGTTGAGCATCGACCTAGGATCCAGGTGCTCCGGGTTCGATTCCAGGTCAGGGCACATGCCCAACTTGCGGGCTCCATCCTCAGTCGGGGGCCTGCAGGAGGCAGCCGATCTATGACGACTCTCTCATCATTGATGTTTCTATATCTCTCTCTCCCTCTCCTTTCCTCTCTCTGAAATCAATAAAAATATATTTGAAAAAAAAGAATATATTCATATCAAATGAATTAATAAAGCTTTATGACTGTGCTTCATTAGATCTCTGATCAGAGGAAGAGAGTGTAGAGGGGTGGAGGAAAGATGGACTTTGAGGTTGCATGGCCCTGGGTTCCAACTGTTACCAGGGCAATAACTCAATCCACTGGGCCTTGGTTTCATCTGAAAAACAGAGATGGTAATACCTAAGAGTTGCTATTAGGTTTTAAATCAGCAAATGCAAAGGACCTAATCCTGTCAATAATAGGTGATCAAAAAAATGTAGTGATGATTATTTTATGTCAGAAGTTATTCTTATGTCACATTTTAAAAAGAAGCCTGGCTGGCATCTTTCAGGGGTTGAGCCTCAACCTATGAACCAGGAGTTGCGGGATCGGTCCCCAGCAGGGGGCGTGCAGGAGGCAGCGGATCAATGACTCTCATCATTGATGTTTCTCTCTCTCCCTCCCCCTTCCTCTCTCTGAAATCAATAAAACATATATATATAAAAGATTAACACAATTTTTAACTTAAAAAAATGTACAGAGTTTTAGAACAGTGGTGAGGGTCTACCAAGAGGGCAGAAATAAGAGGTCTGAGAATATTGCTGCGCTTTCCAGACGGCGTCAGCCTCATTTGATCAAGCACAGCTGCCAGGCTGCCGGGTACGCTGTCCCCATCGACAGTGCGCCTATCTGGCCCTTACAGCCCCTCCCGCCTTCCTCACCCCCCGACGCTCGGAAGCCGCAGAAACAATCTAATCAGAATCGTGCGGAGGCGCAGCGCCTTCCA